CTGAATGTCAGCAGAGACCAGGACAACTAGATGAGCCCCAGAGACAGATCCCCAGTGAAGACCTTGTCTCAGACGGCCACTGGGACAAGACCACAGGAACCAGTTGAGTCCTCTGCACAATCTGACTTTGCTGCAGCCTGGAATTGAACTGCTGGATTTGTCTGGCCAGAGGAGAACTGGCCCCCCGACTGAGCCTGGTTGCTCCCAAGGTTTTTTCTCCATTCTGTCACCGATGGAGTTTTGGTTCCTTGCCGCTGTCGCCTCTGGCTTGCTTAGTTGGGGACACTTGATTTCCAGCGATATCGTCGACTTGATTGCACAGATACTATTAAACTGAACTGAGCTGGGTGATGACATCACTGAATTCAATGATGAATTAACTGCCTTTAACTGAAAATTGAGTGTTTACTATTGTCACTTTGCATTATTGACACACTATTTTCCTAATGAATGCTGTACATTTGCTTTGACACAATCTGTATTGTTAAAAGCGCTATATAAATAAAGGTGACTTGACTTGACTTGCGGGATCTGAGACGGAGTGAAACAAGGACAAGTATATGCTACTTTGGGCTTCAGGTGTACGCTTCATGGACAAATACACAGGAAAAATATGGCAAAATGTCCGTCTTGGCGAGTTAAACACTTAAACACAGTCAGTTATGTGAACAAATAGTTGGGAAAGTAATCGAATGTCAGTATATTAGATCTGTGCATTCAGTCTTAAAGTGACAGCAGCCTAATAGACCTGCTACTGTCTCTGCCATTTAATGTTAATCAAACAACAAAAGAAAACTAGAGAATCAGTCACTGCTCTTCACTGAATAACTTTAGTAACTTTAATAATAGTCTATGTGTATTCAGTTCATATGGTGAAGACTATGCAGTGTTTTATTTTTAAATTTGATTACTTTATTTATTTTTATTTTTTTTTATTATTGTATTACTGACTGTTTCAACTCACTGTTGAGCTGAGCGAATGGCTGACTTCAGGGGAGCATGCAGGCGTGGTAGTCTGGGTGAGTGAATCAGCTCAGTGATGGACAGAGCTGGTAGTGATGAAGAACACACTGTGCTGGACAGAACAGGTGACTACAAAGACTCTGAGCGAGATCAGTGACAAGGAAGAATCTGTGCTGGATGTGACTGGTGACAAAGAAGACTCTGAGCTGAGAGGGATCAGCGACAATGAAGACACAGTTATACAGGAGGCAGGTTCGTGGGTAGGCAGGGTGGGAAGCACTCAGTCAATTAGCCATTTCCTCATCTATCTCCACAATAATCCCCACAGGTACAGACGAAATGGCCGGCTCACACACCTGCCAAACAACTGTGTTAATCTAAGGAGATACTAATCCCTGACTCTTGCACACAGTCAGTGAAGCTGGGAGACATTTCAACATTTTATTTTTCAACCGATCGTGCCAAGGATCCAATGAATATCTCATAAAGTGATCTAGTTTATGGAGATGATAAAGCAGGCAGGTGCAGGTCACAATATGTTGGCTTATAGCCAAGAAAAAGCATTTGGATTTAAGTTTATTGTGGGCTTGTTCTCAGTTGCTGTTTTTTATTTTATTTTTAGTAAGATCTGGCAACGCGAATGAATCAAGATGGACAACTTTCGCTGTGATTTCTTGCACTGCGCATACCGAAGAGAGGCACAACTCTGATAAACGTTGAAGTATGTCATTAACAACTAGTTCGGTTCTGTACACACTCCGCAGAATGTCTGTAAAATGTTTATCCCTATGCATTTTTCAGGAGTTAATTCGGTTGTAGAACGCAGTTGTTCTGTGTGTGTACAGAACAGGATTAAGCAACTGAACTGACAACTGAATTAAGCTGCAGTGTGTACATCTCCATAGACATACGTTTGAAACGATGTGTATTGTGAGAAGCGCTATACAAATAAATTTGACTGTTCTCTCTTAGCGGGAATTCTATTGGTACATTTCTCCTCCTATTATCTCAATCTGCATGTTAGGGAAGTGGCTACATTGTCTGTAAACTGTTTTCTCCTGTGTTTGATAGGAAAGGGAAGCGTTTTAGTTTAATTTAAATCATTGTCCGAGTTCCAGGTTAGCCTGTTATTTGTTATATCAGCCTGTTTTGTTATTTATGTTGGCCTTGCCCCCTCTGCTATGCTGCTCCCTATGAAGTATTACTTGTTTGTTTTGTTGATAAATTAATTCCTTATGTTAAAAAAAGAGGTGCACTTGAATTCTGGGAAGTGGGGAATCAATTTTTTTTTTTTTTTTTTTTGCTTCAGGTTTGTTTTTAACCTTGTGGGAAAGGTTAAACATGTTTAAAAGACAAATGTAAAAGGGATGCAAAATCTGTTTAAATCACTGGACTGTCACCAGTGGATCATATAAATAGTAATACCATGTAAAACATCACAGAATAAAACTAAAAATGATACAAATACTTGCTAAAATGTCCTAAAACAATCAAAAACAACAATAATGCCTATAAAACAATATACAGATGCATCACATACCATAACATCCTTTTTTGATGTGACTGTAAGGAAGGTTTAAAACTTTTTTTTATTTTTTATTTCTTTTTTTTAATAGCTATATCCACACACTGGCAACTGGTCTGTATAATATATACATAGGCTATGTATATTATGTTAAAAAATAGAAACATCCAACATTTAAAATTTATTTTAAGTATTTAATTATGGAACGTATAAAGAATCTTTTTTATAAGCTCACATACTCAGTATTTAAGAGGATGTACTGTAGGAATTCATGCAACATTTAACCATCTAAAATACTGCCAACATAATGTATAAACATTCTGTGTTTAATGTATCAAAAATGTAAAATTATAAAATAATATGAAGCATGCTTGAGAACCCGTTCAAACCCAATAACAGCGCTGTTACGCCCCCTACAGGCTTAAATAAACAAAACATTACATATTGTCTAATCATCTTTTGATTCTTTGCTGAGATCAGCCAAGTTTTAATTTCTGTGTCGTATACTTTTAACCACGGCATCCTCTTTTCTAATTTATAATTCATTTATTTTGTTTTTTAAATTAATTTTAAATTGATGTTGACAGTAGAAATAAAGTAATTCACAACACTTTGCAATAACCTGCACACGTTCATATTAAATAAAAACACATTGTTGTAATGAGAAAAGGTGTTGTGTTGCTCTGCTCTGTTCTAGAGGTTCGGCGAACAGCGCTTTACGACCCTCTTGCGGCGGGTGTTTGCGACAGCTCTCCGCGTACACACGGCAGCATGACGGAATACGGCAGTGAGAAGATGGCGGAAGAAGAGCGGAATGGCAGTGCAGAGAAACTCAAGGAGAAGGCGAATAACTACTTTAAAGGTAAGAGCTTGTCGGATATGCGCTGTAAATAAGAGACTGCATTGATCCGGACTGGATAGCGCTGCGCTGGATGCGTTCCTCGCATTGTGAGCACTGATGAGAGAGATGAGAGCTGAGCTTGAGCAACACATGCTGAATCAGACTTTCTTCTTCTGCACGATCTGTTTACTCCACATATATCGAGCAGAGAGATGCTTTCCTGTGCTGAGCTGCCAGGCGAGTGCTGTGTGACTCACCACTGCACTGTGAGGCTCGACATGCTCTGATAGCAGAAGAAGAGCGGAATGGCAGTGCAGAGAAACTCAAGGAGAAGGCGAATAACTACTTTAAAGGTAAGAGCTTGTCGGATATGCGCTGTAAATAAGAGACTGCATTGATCCGGACTGGATAGCGCTGCGCTGGATGCGTTCCTCGCATTGTGAGCACTGATGAGAGAGATGAGAGCTGAGCTTGAGCAACACATGCTGAATCAGACTTTCTTCTTCTGCACGATCTGTTTACTCCACATATATCGAGCAGAGAGATGCTTTCCTGTGCTGAGCTGCCAGGCGAGTGCTGTGTGACTCACCACTGCACTGTGAGGCTCGACATGCTCTGATAGCAGCAGATTGATATGATTATGATTATGATTATGATTATGATGCCCTGAGCTCAGTGGACGGGGTTTATGACTGGCGTCACGTCTGTCACTCATTCATGGATTCATGTTATGTCTGCACTTTTCATAGAATTGCATCTGGAAAAATCATGTCGTTTCTTATGTTGGTCTTCTGCATATTTCCGGAGAACATTAAACATTAGTTTAACTGTGGGATGTTTCTAGCATCTAAAGTAAATACATGACCCGGTGCAGTAAATGTTGTTTAATTTGCACACAGTTTATTCATAATTATTTTTCAGTTTATAGTAGCTGTCAATTTTATATTGTGTGTATATATATATTTATTCTTTAGTTCATGTCGCGTGTGTGTGTGTACATATATATAATTCATAAATGTACATAATTTACTTATATAATTCTTTATTTTATTTTAAATTTTATATATTTGTACTCTCATACACGTCTCTTTTTGACACTGAAATTAGAGAATGTAGTACTAAATGTAGTGTGTTTTTATTAATATTATTATTAATGTCGTTATTATTACATTTAGGTGTATCTAGAACTAACTAGATCCCTCTCGTTTTGAAAATGCTTTAATATTTATGCTCTGTTGAGTTTTATATTTTGGGTTACAGAGACCATAAATACATTTCTTTGTAAAAAAAATAATAATAATATTTGCATATTTTTAATGTAACACTGTTTTGCTTGTTATTAATAGTAAAAAATACAACATTTACTAAAACAAAATGACTAAGACTTAAATGAAAACAGAAAATGTAAAAATACAGACTGACTCAAAATCGTAATAAAACTAAAATAGTATCTCAATGATACTAAAATAAGACTCGGGTGAAGTACGCTAAGATGTAATAATCACCTTACTAATTACTGATTACTTGTGTGTTTTTAATCACATTTACTAGTCATGGAAAAAGTAATCATTTCTAATTACTTAAATTACTGTCTAAAACGCAACGAGTGTCACACACTTTCACTTTCTCCATTTGACTCTAAAAACTTATATTGGGATTGTCAATTAACATGATTCAAATTTGACCGTAACATTTTAGTCCGATAGAGTTCAATATTTTGCTCATTTCTAGGCACTTATTTGACAGTGTTGACTCTCTCTCTTCAAAAGTGGCATAGACCCAATTAGGGATGTAACGATTCACTCAACTCACGATTCGATTCGATTCACAATTTTGATTTCACGATTCGATTCACGGTTTTGATTTCACGATTCGATTCACGATTTTGATTTCACGATTCGATTCACAATTTTGATTTCACGATTCGATTCGATTCACGGTTTTGATTTCACGATTAGATTCGATTCACGATCTTGATTTCACGATTAGATTCACGGTTTTGATTTCACGATTCGATTCACAATTTTGATTTCACGATTCGATTCGATTCACGGTTTTGATTTCACAATTCGATTCGATTTACGGTTTTGATTTCACAATTCGATTCACAATTTTGATTTCACGATTCGATTCGATTCACGGTTTTGATTTCACGATTCGATTCGATTCACGGTTTTGATTTCACGATTCGATTCGATTCACGGTTTTGATTTCACGATTCGATTCGATTCACGGTTTTGATTTCACGATTCGATTCGATTCACGGTTTTGATTTCACGATTCGATTCGATTCAAATTTTTGTTTTCACGATTCGATTCGATTCACGGTTTTGATTTCACGATTCGATTCGATTCACGATCTTGATTTCACGATTCGATTCACGATTTTGATTTCACGATTTGATTCGATTCACGATTTTGATTTCACGGTTCGATTCACGATTTTTATTTCACAATTCGATTCACGATTTTGATTTCATGATTCGATTCACGGTTTTGATTTCACGATTCGATTCGATTCACAATTTTGATTTCACGATTCGATTCACAATTTTGATTTCAAGATTCGATTCACGATTCGATTCACGGTTTTGATTTCACGATACGATTCACAATTTTGATTTCACGATTCGATTCGATTCACGGTTTTTATTTCACGATTCGATTCACGATTTTGATTCACGATTTTGATTTCACGATTCGATTCGATTCACAATTTTTTACTTTTTTTTTACAAAATGAGATTTAAGACAAATTATAAATTAAATGTGTCCTTTTATTATTGCTTGGACAAAATGCTGCACATTTCTTTGTGAAATTGAAATATAACACTATAATAATATACTAATATAGCACTTGCATATTATTGCTCTTTTGTTGGTTTTGATTGCTTCTATTGTCCTCATTTGTAAGTCGCTTTGGACAAAAGCTTCTGCTAAATGACTAAATTTAAATATAATGTAAAAGTAAAAAACAAAACTACATTGAAATTTTAAAACAAGCCCCAAATCAAATAAATAAGTAACACAAATAAAATAAATCTCTTCATATAAACAAACTAAG